AAAACTTTGTAAATATCGAGTATAATTCGTTACCTCTTCGTCACCGTGTTGTTTGTACAGTTGGTAAATGAAGTTTGCCTGATAATTAAGTGAATTTGAGCATCAATTTCGGTAGTGGAACGCACTGCTGATGAGTCCCAAATATAAGACGAAACGGCTGTCCAGTGCTTCCTACATTCTGTTGAGGTTTCTTCTAGATTATTATGACATTCTATGAATGTTTATATCCTCTCTAATTTCTATCACTACAACACACACACACACATTTCGTAAGAATATATATAATATATATGATATATATATATATATATATAAAAGTGAACATAGAATTCAACACTTAGAGGCGACAGTCTGTTTCATGCTTCTTCATTGTGGAATAATAGTGATTTACGGGAGTGCTTAATGATGTTGATTTTGCTTGGTTTTATTATTATTTGTTCCTGAGATAAGTTGATGGCCTTATCTAGCATACGTTCTGTTATGGATGGGTAAAATTCTTTTTATGTCTAATTGTAGGAATTGGCAATTTTGTTTGTTATTTATGTTGTGGAACCAGTCAATAGTTGTTTTTGTATTTTTCCACTGGTTTACATCCTAATTTCTTCCTAAGTTCAGAATTAAATTCTTTCTAGTATTGTTTTACTTATTTTACCCTAGTTTGCTTTTGGCTGGATTTATGAGTCTGAATGCAGGATTGGTTTTGAAATTTTCTTTATGGTCTTTTAGTGTGATAAAAACTCGTGAACAAAATACAATTATATATATATATATATATATATATATATATATATATATATAAATTGATGCATATTTCATTAAATAATAATATATGATTTTTTGAAAATTTATTTTAAGTAAGTTCCTTTCATATTGTCTGATAAACTTAATAACATTATCATTGAAGAACGAAAGGAAATCACCATACTGATATATGTTTAAATCCAATCTAAGTATTAGGCATATTACGGAAATCCATTATCAAAAATGACAATTACTTTTCAATATATCAACCAAACATTTTGAAGGATATACAAAAAACAGTTGAAACCTAATCTGAACTAAATAAAAAAAAATCTTCACAAACATTCTTAAACGCCTATATATGATATTAAGCCATTGGTTTATACCAACGGCTTTATATATTTAATAATTCTTATTTTAAAACTAATTTTTTTGGACATAAATTGACGTCACGAATTGCGACGTGATTTTCGCTTCCTGCGTCTCGCATACACTAGATAGTCGTTTTTTTGAAATTTTCATGCAACAAAAACAGACTATCATTATTTTCCGTTTTATAATTTGCATCAATGAAAAATTTTTTGCATATATATATATATATATATATATATATATATATATATATATATATATATATATATATATTTATATATAAATCTATCTAAACTCGGTGGGTGAATATATATGGAAGGAAATAATTTTCAAATAAATTGGCATAAAGCACCAGAAACCTCCGAACAGGTCAAAAAAAAATATTATTTAATTCTCTGACACAATATATTTACCCCAAAAAAAAACAAACAACGACTAATAAGTTAAAACGGAGAGTGCTCAATACACTAAGTAGAACCAAAAGTAAAATAAATAAATCCTAATGAGATACTACCTATCTAGGTTCACCTCTTTGGATCACCAGGGTGTACTGGCTAAGGAAGAATTAGCGGGGAAGAAATTTATTGACAAAATTATTGCTAAAACCTCAAATTAGCATAAGCTTATAAAACACGTGACAAAAAAACAAAAAAAAACATACCCCTAACCTTTATTCTAATAACCAGGCTTTCTTATGTCTGCATCTATTAAGGATATCTAACCTATGGTTTGAGAAAATGTTTGGTTTGATGAAGGTAGCTATTGCTAACTTCTTTTCCATACATAATATACAGTACACACACATACACACGCACACACATGCATATACATATATGCAGCTAAGTATATATATATATATATATATTTTCATATACGCATATATACACAATAGGTAATAATATATATAATTTTGCTGTTTGCCGGGATCCAAGCCTTGTTAGTGAAATTTTTTAGACGAATCTGTTCGGACTCTGACGAAGACTGTACTCGAAATATGTTTAAAATCATCATGGACTAGCTATGAGGATGTAATGGCATCGTTCAGATTTACCATAAGAATCAACATAATTTCAGAACCAAATCCAACTTGGATCTGCGGATTTGGAAGAAACGAAATGAAATTGAGATGGTGAATGCAAGAGGTTTTCTTGGAATCAAACAGAAATGATCCTGAGCAGGCAACTGGAACAGGAATGAACAAACCTCCACGAAATGGAGCTGTCTGTCAATAGTCTTTATATTTATAGAATTGGGGTGGGGGGCATGTTTCATACAAGTATTTTTTATATGTTTCAAGATTATACATGTAGCTTGCAGTACTCTTTATCATTCAGCCACTTTAGCCATCTCCGGGAAGTTAAGATCTTTTCGGCAGGAGAAGAGGTTTGCTTCCTCCAGGGTTATATTTCGGTAGATTTTATCAGTATAATTTGAATACGAAGTTTTATCTTGTCACGTGTTGTGGTTTCATATCGGCGCTTATTTTTTTTTCTTCGAATGCCTGAACAGATTCAGGAAGGATTCTATGAGCATTTCTCAATTTAGAAAAAATTAAAATGATAGATTCTATTTACATGATTCGGACTGTTACCCTCATCTTCATTGCCATATTCACGTCGTTTCAGTCGTTGTACACTCCGCACTTCTTCAGGTGATTGGTATTTTCGAATCGAACCCTTTATTTCGTCCACAGGGGTGGATTGTTCTAATTCCACATGCTATGCCTCTTATTGATGTCTCAGTTATTTCCCTTTAACTCAACTCTCCAACTTGTTGTTCACTACTTCTGCGGCCTGGTATTGAACTCACAACTATTTGGGTCTATTGACTGGATCTGGTCAATGTCTTTATCCACTGGGCCATGTGTATGAATTTCCAGGACTTATAAACTTAATATCTCAGCAATTGTTTTTATTTTTCAGTGCTCATATTGCAATTTTTCCATTATTAGTGCATACTTTTTTTTTACCAGAGGGTATATTGCAATTTTTGAGTTACTAATTACGTTTCTCGAGCACTCCTTATAACTGGTTTCCATATTGTATTCATTTCTATGCTTAGTCGACTCACGAGATTTTTGTGGCCTAGCAAAGGTGCTGATTCCTTGAATTTTCGCATTTTCCAATGATGTTCACTGTCTATTATTTCAGACTCATCCTACAGGGGCTGTGATCTCCTTTTTCGCTTAAATCACCTGAAGAAGGTCGGAGCGTACAACGGCAAAAACGTTGTGACTATGGCAATAAGATGAGGCTAATAGTCCGAATAATGTAAATTTTACCACGAAGCCGTCGGCGTAAGTCCGGGATGAATGTGAATTTAAGCGTATTTATTTTTAGATAAACACAGATATATATTTATTAAAGACATTTTTATGTTTAACGTTCTTTTTTTATAGATACAAGTATTTAAGCAAATGCTCTGTTTATAATAAACAGTATTAAATAACATTTACCGGCCTGAATGTCCGAGAAATTTTCATAGAAAATATTCGTCCTTTGACAAAATTCGAACCTGCATCCTATACGGAACCGTCATTTACGCTGACGTGCCTAACCTCTCGGCCATGAAGGAACGTTCGGTAGGCAAGGTCGAATTTACTGCTTATAAACTTCAATCTTCCATGAATCTCGTACATTCATAACTGCTCTGGCGTATCAAATGTAAACAAATGACGTCATATATTAAGAAATGGACAAAGTCCGACAATTTATTTATAAAATTTCTCGGACATTCAGGCCGGTAAATGTTATTTAATACTGTTTATTATAAACAGAGCATTTACTTAAATACTTGTATCTATAAAAAAGAACGTTAAACATAAAAATGTCTTTAATAAATAAATTGTCGGACTTTGTCCATTTCTTAATATACAGATATATAGTATATATATAATATACATTTATATATATATATATATATATATATATATATATATATATATATATATATGTGTGTGTGTGTGCAAATATAAAAAAATAGGAAAGAACCGTTAGGTTAATAATCCGAAATTTTACTATTTTGTTTTTATTTTAAAAACAGTAATCAGTACATAAGTAGAGCCTAAATTATAATTATTTAAAAAAAAATATGATTCATCGCTACATAATTAAATTGAATTAAAGTAGCCAGTTCTGTTTCATCCTCAACAGCTGGGAACTTTAATTCAATTTTTATAATTAAATTGAAGTTTTTTGCTTCTGCTTTTGAAACCTGAGAACTCTTATGTAGCGATGGAATCATATTTTTTAAAACATAATTAATATATATATATATATATATATATATATATATATATATATAAATATATATATATATATATATATATATATATAAAAAACATATAATAACGTAATTTTTAATGATTATGTTGTGAAGCCATATTTTAAGTCTCTGTTGGTTTCCATATTTGAACATATATTATTTACATTGTTTTCTGTGTATCTGAATTGAAGCCCTTGGATTTAGGGAAAGAAAATAGTTTAGTCTTTATGTATGTATTTTTTTCCTTTTCGTCAGAAGATTTATTCACAGTCTGAAAATAAAATAAACCATTTCCAAAGAATTTATTGTTATTTTCTTCTAGTCTCTTATGTTGGTCTTCTATAACAACGCTGCAAGAGCCATTACCCGACATCGCGTTGGACATTAAGTCACGACGTGAATCGTAAAACTGCGGAAGTAAGTTCCTCCGTCGGCCAAAATTCACATCTATCTTCTCATGTAGCCATATTTGATCCAGGCGTACTCACAGATTTATAAATTGACCCATGACACCGGAAACTGTTGGCGAAATTTCAGATGTTTATAAGGAAGACTAACTGCGTTAGATTAAAGTGAAAAAGATTCGGTGGACCGACTTAAGAATCAATATGACATTGCGAGATTTACAAATAAAAAATTTCAGAAAGAAATAAGGAGGACATTAAAGATAAAGATAGTAAAAGATGCCAGGGAGAGAATGAGAATAAGAGAAGTATGAGTGAAAGAAGAAGAAGAAGAAGAAGAAGAAGAAGAAGAAGAAGAAGAAGAAGAAGAAGAGGGAAGAGGAAGAAGAAGAAGAAGAAGAAGAAGAAGAAGAAGAAGAAGAAGAAGAAGAAGAAGGCGGAGGAGGGGAAGAAGAAGAAGAAGAAAGAAGAAATGTATATCGTGAAAAGTTTGAAGAAAAAAAGAAAGAAAAAAGAAAAGGAAAAATGAAAGAAAAGATAATAGAAAACAGGGAAAGAGATATTAATTGCAAAGAACTGCCGTAGAATAAAAAGAAAGAAAGAAAAAATATAATAGAAAAAAGGAAAAGAAGAAATGTACATTGCGAGAAGATTTCGAATAAGAAAGAAAGGAAATGTCTTTTTACGGAAAATTGTTGAAGAAGAAAGAAAGAAAGAAAGAAAAAAGAAATGGAGAAAATAAAAATAAAAGATGTTCATAGAAAACAGAAAGAGAGAAAAGTACATTGCGAAAAATTTGGCGAAGAAGGAAAAGAAAAAAGTACAATAAATAACAAATTGAGAATTGTACATTTAAAATGTTGAAGAAAAGGAAGAAGAAGAAGAAGAAGAAGAAGAAGAGGAAGAAGAAGAAAAAGCAGCAGCAGCAGAAGAATAAGAATAATAAAAAGAACGAACGGAAGAAAAAGAACGTCCAAAAAGAAGGTTTAAGAAAGAGGAAATATAACTGAAAAAAAAAATAGAAAAAGAAAAGAAAAGAAAATGGAAAAGAAAGAAAGAAAGAAAGAAAGAAAAGAAAGGAAATGTGGAAAGAAAGAAAAATGAAGAAAGAAAGAAAAAAAGAAAGAAAAGAGGAAAAAGAAAGAAAAAAGAAAGAAAGAAAAGAAAAGAAAGGAAATTTGAATGAATGAAAAATGGAGAAAAAAAAAGAAAGAAAGAAAAGAGAAAAAATGGAGAAGAAAGAAAGAAAGAAAGAAAAAAATGAAAAGAAAAAAAGAAGAAAAAAGAAAGAAAGAAAGAGAAAAATGGAGAAGAAAGAAAGAAAGAAAAAAAGAAAAAAAAAGAAATGATTGAAAATGGAGAAGAAAGAAAGAAAGAAAAAAAAGAAAGGAAAATGGAGAAGAAAGAAAGAAAAGAAAGAAAGGAAAAAAAAAAAATAAAAAAAAATGGAGAAGAAAGAAAGAAAGAAAGAGAAAATGGAAAGAAAGAAAAGAAAGAAAGAAAAAAAAAAAGAAAGAATGAAATGATGAAAAAAATGGAGAAGAAAGAAAGAAAGAAAAGAAAAGAGGAAAATGAAGAAGAAAGAAAGAGAAGAAAAGGAAAAGAAAGAAAAGAAAAATGGAGAAGAAAGAAAGAAAGAAAGAAAGAAAGAGGAAAATGGAGAAGAAAGAAAGAAAGAAAGAAAGAAAGGAAATGTGAATGATATGTGAAAAATGGAGAAGAAAGAAAGAAAGAAAGAAAAAAAGAAGAAAGAAAGAAAGAAAGAAAGAAAGGAAATGTGAAAGATATGTGAAAAATGGAGAAGAAAGAAAGAAAGAAAGAAAGAGGAAAATGGAGAAGAAAGAAAGAAAGAAAGAAAAGAAAGGAAATGTGAAAGATATGTGAAAAATGGAGAAGAAAGAAAGAAAGAAAAAAAGAGGAAATGGAGAAGAAAGAAAGAAAGAAAAGAAAGAAAGGAAATAAAAAGGAAAATGAAAAGAAAGAAAGAAAGAAAGAAAGAAAGAAGGAAATGGGAAAGGAAAGAAAATAAAGAAAGGAAAAAGAAAGATAAAAAAAAAATGGAGAAGAAATGAAAAAGAAAGAAAGAAAAGGAAAATGGAGAAGAAAAAAGAAAGAAATAAAAGAAAGAATTGAAAGAAAAAAAAAAATAAGGTGAAAGAAAAAAAGAAAGAAAGAAGGAAAAGAAGAAAGAAAGAAAGAAAGAAAGAAAGAAAAAATGAAAGATATGTGGAAAAAAGAAAGAATGAAAGAAAGAAAAAAAAGAAAGAGGCCATTTTAATTTTTGAGAAGAAAGAAAGAAAGAAAGAAAAGGAAAACATTATGAAGATATATGAAAATATTTATAAAAAAAGAAAGAAAGAAAGAAAGAAAGAAAAAAAATGGAGAAGAAAAAATAAAAGAAAGAAGAAAGAAGAAAGGAAATCAAGAAAGATATGTGAAAAATGGAGAAGAAAGCAAGAAAGAAAGAGGAAAATGGAGAAGAAAGAAAAAGAAAGAAAGAAAGAAAGAAAGAAAGAAAAAATTGTAGAATTAGAAAAAACAGAAACGCTGAGGAATTAATGCAGAGATGACCAAATCTAAAAAGAGGGGGAAAATAGGTATAAATAATAAGAAGAACAGAAGCTGAGAAATGCATTTGCAGAAGATAAAAAATACAAAATTGAAGAAAATTAAATATAAAATCACGACATATACTCAGTTGGGTAAAGGACAAAGCAAATATTTGAGAAAATCGAAGAAAAGGAAAAAAAAACAAAAAAACAATGTGGAAAACTTTTGATAACAGGTTTTGATGACCAGAATGAACTAATACCAAATGAGGCCATCGTTGGGGAAAAAGCAACGAAAAAACGAAGTTAGATGATGAAAAAGAAAATGAGAACAAGTCGAAAGCTCGTAAGAAATGAAATGAAAACGAAGCCAATGATGGCAACGAGGCAAACGTAAACGAGGCTGGAGATGATAACAATGAAAATAAAAATAAGACTAGAGGGGTTAAGTGATAAAATATAAATGAGATGCGAGATGCTGTGAAAATAAATTAAAATAAGGGAAGAGATAGTGGGAAAAAATGAGGTGAGAGATGGAAACGAGGATGTTTACTAAGCGGTTATAAACAAGGCGACATCTGGTGAAACAAACACGAACATAAGGCGAGAAATCGCGAGAAAAACATGAAAACGAGACAAGGCATGGCTAGGGATGAAGTGGAAACGAGGCTAGTGATGTTTACAAAACAGATATAAATGAGATGATATCTGGTAAAAGAAAAATGAAAACGAGGCGAGAGTTAGTGAGAAAGTAAATGAAACCAAGGCGAGAGATGACAAGGTTGAAACGAGGCGAGAGATGTTTACAAAGCGACTATAAACTTGGCGAGATCTGGTAAAAGAAACATGAAGACGGGGCGAGAAATAAAGAGAAAAGAAATGAAAACGAGGCGAGAGATGACTAGGGATGAAGTGGAAATGACGCTAGTGATGTTTACAAAGCAGATATAAAGATGATATCTGACGAAAAATAATGAAAACGAGGCGAGAGATTGTAAGAATAGAAATGAAAACGAGGCGAGAGATGTCTAGAGATGAAGTGAAGATCAGGCGAAAGATGACAAGAAAGGAGAGACGGGTCGAAAATTCATAATGAATTTAAAAGTAAATGCAGCTAAAAATAAATTGTTATTCAAAGGAAATGAAGCAGAAACTGAAAAAAGAATAATCCTAAAAATGGTGAAATGGCACAGTGGATAAAGGCGTTGATTAGATACAGTGACAGGACCCAAAGAGTGTGAGTTTCAATACCCGGTTAAGGCAGTGAAGAACTTTCAGAGGGAAATTAATAGGAGATAACTGATAACTGGCATCCATTAAAAACATGGCACGTGGAACTAGAACAGTCTACCCCAGTGAGCGAAATAAAGGGTTCAGTTCGACATTCTAACCACCTGAAGAAGTCCGGAGCGTACCTGCCAAATTAAAAGTACTATTTTCAACAATTTGAAATTTCTGATGAATATTAATTCTTCTTTTACTGACTTAAAAAGCTCATGCCGAGTTCTATGACAATAAAATATACGTAGAAAATCCCCTCACGCCTTATTAAATATCTGAGCTTAGAAACTTGAACAAAATATTTTAATAACAGACATAAATATGTATGATTGTCGTTATTTTAAGAAGTAAGGAGGTACAAATAAAAAGATTTTAAATTGACATTTTCTATTTCACAGAAAAAAACGCTAAACACTACTATATTTCTTTCTTTTTTTTCATTTTATCAATGATTTAACCTAGAAAAAGTTACTGAATGAGGAAAAGCCAAAATGCATTTTCATAATAAAATCAATTTCCAACGCATTTCCATAATAAAATCACTTTCCAATGCATTTTCATAATAAAATCACTTTCCAATGCATTTTCATAATAAAATCACTTTCCAATGCATTTTCATAATAAAATCACTTTCCAATGCATTTTCATAATAAAATCACTTTCCAATGCATTTTCATAATAAAATCACTTTCCAATGCATTTTCATATTAAAATCCCTTTCCAATACATTTTCATAATAAAATCCCTTTCCAATGCATTTTCATAATAAAATCACTTTCCGCTGCATTTTCATAATAAAATCGCTTTCCACTGCATTTTCATAATAAAATCACTTTCCAATGCATTTTCATAATAAAATCACTTTCCACTGCATTTTCATAATAAAATCACTTTCCAATGCATTTTCATAATAAAATCACTTTCCAATGCATTTTCATAATAAAATCACTTTCCACTGCATTTTCATAATAAAATCACTTTCCAATGCATTTTCATAATAAAATCACTTTCCATTGCATTTTCATAATAAAATCACTTTCCAATGCATTTTCATAATAAAATCAATTTCCAATACATTTTCATAATAAAATCCCTTTCCAATGCATTTTCATAATAAAATCACTTTCCAATGCATTTTCATAATAAAATCACTTTCCAATGCATTTTCATAATAAAATTTTCCAATGCATTTTCCAATGCATTTTCATAATAAAAATTTTTTCAATGCATTTTTCCAATTTGCATTTTCATAATAAAACCTTTCCAATGCATTTTCATAATAAAATCACTTTCCAATGCATTTTCATAATAAAATCCCTTTCCAATGCATTTTCATAATAAAATCCTTTCCAATGCATTTTCATAATAAAATCACTTTCCAATGCATTTTCATAATAAAATCTTTTCCAATTCTTTTTTCATAATAAAATGAAAACCTTTCCCATTTTCCATGTGCATTTTCAATAATAAAATCCTTTCCAATGCATTTTCATAATAAAATCCTTTCCAATGCATTTTCATAATAAAATCCCATTTTCCAATGCATTTTCATAATAAAATCACTTTCCAATGCATTTTCATAATAAAATCCTTTCCAATGCATTTTCATAATAAAATCATTTTCCAATGCATTTTCATAATAAAATCACTTTCCAATGCATTTTCATAATAAAATCACTTTCCAATGCATTTTCATAATAAAATCCCTTTCCAATGCATTTTCATAATAAAATCACTTTCCAATGCATAATAAAAATTTTCATAATAAAATCACTTTCCAATGCATTTTAAAATAATAAAATCCTTTCAATGCATTTTCATAATAAAATCCTTTTCCAATGCATTTTCATAATAAAATCACTTTCCAATGCATTTTCATAATAAAATCCCTTTCCAATGCATTTTCATAATAAAATCACTTTCCAATGCATTTTCATAATAAAATCACTTTCCAATGCATTTTCATAATCCCTTTCCAATGCATTTTCATAATAAAATCCCTTTCCAATGCATTTTCATAATAAAATCACTTTCCAATGCATTTTCATAATAAAATCACTTTCCAATGCATTTTCATAATAAAAATCACTTTCCAATGCATTTTCATAATAAAATCACTTTCCAATGCATTTTCATTTCTTTCCAATGCATTTTCATAATAAAATCCCTTTCCAATGCATTTTCATAATAAAATCACTTTCCAATGCATTTTCATAATAAAATCACTTTCCAATGCATTTTCATAATAAAATCCCTTTCCAATGCATTTTCATAATAAAATCACTTTGGATTTTGCATTTTCATTTTAATAAAATCACTTTCCAATGCATTTTCATAATAAAATCCCTTTCCAATGCATTTTCATAATAAAATCACTTTCCAATGCATTTTCATAATAAAATCACTTTCCAATGCATTTTCATAATAAAAATCCTTTCCAATGCATTTTCATAATAAAATCCCTTTCCAATGCATTTTCATAATAAAATCCCTTTCCAATGCATTTTCATAATAAAAATCCTTTCCAATGCATTTTCATAATAAAATCACTTTCCAATGCATTTTCATAATAAAATCACTTTCCAATGCATTTTCATAATAAAAATCATTTTCTTTCCAATGCATTTTCATAATAAAATCACTTTCCAATGCATTTTCATAATAAAATCACTTTCAATCCATAATAAAATCACTTTTTCATAATAAAATCACTTTCCAATGCATTTTCATAATAAAATCACTTTCCAATGCATTTTCATAAAAATCCCTTTCAATGCATTTTCATAATAAAATCCCTTTCCAATGCATTTTCATAATAAAATCACTTTCCACTGCATTTCCATAGTAAAATCACTTTCCAATGCATTTTCATAATAAAATCACTTTCCATTGCATTTTCATAATAAAATCACTTTCCAATGCATTTTCATAATAAAATCACTTTCCAATGCATTTTCATAATAAAATCACTTTCCATTGCATTTTCATAATAAAATCACTTTCCAATGCATTTTCATAATAAAATCACTTTCCACTGCATTTTCATAATAAAATCACTTTCCAATGCATTTTCATAATAAAATCACTTTCCAATGCATTTTCATAATAAAATCACTTTCCAATGCATTTTCATAATAAAAAATCACTTTCCAATGCATTTTCATAATAAAAATCACTTTCCAATGCATTTTCCTAATAAAATCACTTTCCAATGCATTTTCATAATAAAATCACTTTCCAATGCATTTTCATAATAAAATCACTTTCCAATGCATTTTCATAATAAAATCACTTTCCAATGCATTTTCATAGTAAAATCACTTTCCAATGCATTTTCATAATAAAATCACTTTCCAATGCATTTTCATAATAAAATCACTTTCCAATGCATTTTCATAATAAAATCACTTTCCAATGCATTTTCATAGTAAATCACTTTTCATTTTCATAGTAAAATCACTTTCCAATGCATTTTCATAATAAAATCA